CCCTGCCTGTTGTGGGATCTCATTTCATTCATTTGGCAATGACCGGTGGATTTATTTAACTTACCCCGGATGCATAAAATAGCCTAAGGTTTTTCTGCAAAATTTTTAGGTTTTTGCGGCACTTTGATGGTTTATAAATTTGCTTTTGCAATTTCTCATTTGTCTCGCTGACACTGTCGCTTTCCTCTTTATAATTGTTTCGATTGTTAGGTTAGGTTGGTCCCTATGCCGCTTCTCTTTTTCAAAAACAAACACTAAAAACGACTGTGCAAAAGCCAGCTCACGCGAAATCTGAATTTGGCGGGGAATTCGTTGGTGACGACACTGTTCTCTCCCATTTTCCCGTTCTTTGTATTTCCGGTGCTGTACGTTCTTCATCATTTTGAACGAGCCTGGAGCGATATGAAAGAGGGCAAAAACTGCTGAATACGTGAAAAACAAAAAACTCTACTTAGTATGTGGATTTCGAAAGTGTTTTCTTGTAATGCGTTGTGAAATTATGCATGTAAAATGCATCTCTTGATAAAACCCCTCTTTCCTGTGCTTCTGGAAGTTAAAAGTAAAGTTATGTGTTTCTGTCGGTAATGGTGCTGCTGCTCTTGCTGGCACAGTCCATGTTTTTATGCCTGTTTCCTAGGTGTGAATGAGTTTTCTGTCAGGGTGATGGGTTTCAGGAGGAGAAAACATCTTTTTTTTACTGGAACTTTGTTGGGTGGGTTATGCCTCGAATGAGTCATTCAAAAGCCCCTCCAACTTTTTTTGGCGAAAACGCATATTCGCTAAAGGAAAAGCGGTATTTTTGTGCGTTTTTTGCAGCTATACAATGCAGAAAGCGCATACTTGACGAGAGGTTGTCTGTGTATCCGTGTGTTCGTCTGTACCGATTTTTCATCTCGAGGCCTACAAAAGCTACGGGGAACTTTATCTACAGGCATGTACGGACCTCCATCCCCAAAATGGGCGCTCTTACCCGCGTGGTACCCACATACGGCCCGCCAAGGTTTTTTACGGGTAGGCTGCTAACTTCTAAACCAGAGAAGCTAGAAAGCTGAAAATTTAAGGGGACGTTCCCCATCCGCGTAGTCCTTAGCAAGTCCAAACCCAGATCTCGGGTATGCATGGTACCCACGTGTGGGCCTGTGAAAGTTTCAGGTAAGTTGCTAACTCAGGAACCTGAGAAGCTAGAGAATTGGAATTTTATGGGGATGCTCATCATCCAAGTAGGTATAAATGAGATCAAACTCAGACACTGGGTATGCGTTGTACCCACGTACGGGCCCGTGAAAAATTTTCTCGGGTAATTTGCTAACTTGAAAGCTAGGAGAGCTAGAGGATTGGAATTTTATGGGGATATTCCCATCCAGATGGGTGTTAATGGGCTCAGATCCAGACATCGGGTATGCGTGGCACCCACGTGCGGGCCCGTGAAAGTTTCGAGTAAGTTGCTAACTAGGGAGCCAGAAAAGCTGGAATTTTGGGGGGATGTTTCCTGACAGTTCTGGCGGCCAGTCTTAATTTGTTTAGCTAGAAGCATTTGCCGAAAA